CTCTTTGCTCATCGCTTCCCCCACTGTCCACTTCTCTTCTTCCTCTGCCTTGCAGCTCCACGCTCCTTGTGGGGCTGCTGCTGCCGCCACCTCCTCTGCTTCTTGCCCCCAGCCTAGGACCATCTCTCGCCATATCCTTTGCAACAGCCACCTCATCATATAGCCGTCCATGGCATTCCCCAGTGCCCTTCTCCTGTCTTCCTCACTCACCCCTGGTGCTGCTGTCACGTTCTCTCCATACCCCATAGCCAGCTCCCGCTCCAATGCCGTTGGTTCCTCCCATCGTCCCCTTTTGTGGTCATATACCAGCCCAGGCCCCGGCTTCCCCCCTTCCCACCTGTAGCCTGCTGCCCCTGCATACGCGACCAAGGTGGGCAGCGCACTCCTCTCTTGCCCCACCTGGTTACACGGGTAATGCCTGCTGTAACTCCTTTGGCAGACTGGCGCGGGAGTCCGTCCTGGCTCTAGGATGTCGACCACCCTTCTCCCTGTTGCCCTCCTCATCCCCTCTGCTTCCTCCTGCAGGTCCATCACTGGAACCACGTTCTGCCAGTACATCCTGAGGCGGTGTGCGTACGATCCCGCTCTGGCTGCATCACAGCTCATCCCCTTACCCAAGTGCCTGCCTATCTTCTCCCTCACCAGCCGAATCGGCTCTCTGCAGTCCCCATCTAAGTCCAAATTCTCAAGCAAGAACGCTACTCTGCCCTGCCTTTCCTGCAGCCACTCCAAGATATTGAACAGGTTGTCCATCAGCTGCGTCCTCGGGTCCTCTCCCCCTTTTTCCCCTCCGGCCCATGACACTCCCTGACACTCCCATCCCGCCACCAGCAGGTCCACCTGCCCCCAGCTGGCCACCTGCTCCTCTGTGATCTGACTCACGTCGTGCACGGTACCGCTCATGGCATCCTGAATCACTCGTTCACTCAGGAGGTCCGGGAACTCCCTTCTCAGCTGCCGCGCATGATGTTCAGCCATCCTTCGCACCTGTGGTGCCTGCTCCACATAGACCCACTGCTGCACTGCAATCCCACTTCTCACCGCTGCTGCCAGCCCTGCCCCAATGCCCCCAAACAACTCCACCAGCCGAATGGGCTGCTGCCAGTCGCTCTGTTGCCCCGGCCTGTCCATCGGCTTCATCCTGGGCCCCCCCCTGGCCTCTGTTGTCCCTCCCTGCCCCTTCTGTGCCCCTCCTACCCCGACTTGATAGGCCCGCTTCGGTTCTACCTTCACAAACTGCACTGGCAGCTGCCCCAATGGTCCCTCCTTCTTCCAGTACCTCGTCCTGAACTCTACCTTCTCTGTCCAGGTACATATGCTCATGCCTACAGCGAACACCAGTTCAGTCCCCACCAGCAGATCAAAGTCCTCAGACTCCGAGATCCCACACTTCATCCTGATCCTCGTTTCATGCTCTCCTCCTGGCAGCAGGGTCAACTCTATGGGGGTCCGTGTGCACGGCATCCACTTTGGTTCCCCTCCCTCTGCCGTCATGACCAGCATCCCCTTCGCCACGTGCCTCTCCGGTGCCATCAGCCCCAACCGTTCGGCCATCCCCCTACCCAACATCACGCTCTGTGCTCCAGTGTCAATGATTGCTGTCTTTACCTTCCTCCCCTCCACTTCCACTGCTCCTGCCTCCATAAGCAACACTGAGGTCTGGCACGCGAGCCTCTCCTGCGGGTGGCGGGCTGGGAGTTTCTCTGCCGCTGGCGCGTCCGGCTTGGACCCCTGCTCACGTGGCTTCCTGCCATGCTCCTGCCTGCCATCCTTCCCCCCGCTGCGCAGCCCCATCTCTTCCCTGCCTCTCCATGCCATGAGGGCACACTGCACGTCCGGCTCCACCCCTTCTCCCTCCTCGTCCCTGGCATACATCCCTGCCTCCGCTCCCCACCCTGGCCCCATGGCCTGCAGTTGAGATTGCAGCCTGCTGATCTGTCGCTGCAGCTCTTCCGGCTTCCTCCTTGCCCCTCCCTCCCGCTGGTAGCACTCCTTGGCCTCGTGCCCCTTTTTCCCGCAGACTTCACACCTTGCTGCCTCAGGACACTCTCGCTTCCTGTGCCCAGGCTTCCCGCAGCCTAAACCCCAAAACCCCAACACTACACTAGCGGGAGGCAAGCAAGCTAATCTACGAACACGCGAGCACACAGATCCATCAGCACTAAAGTCAGCATCAACATACAAAGCATGCTGACGCGCATCGTCCATGGACAGATCAAAGACATCAATCTTATGAGCTAACAGACGAGACCAGCGAGGTGTGACCGCCAGAAGGCCCCAACGAGCCCGGTAGAGGTCGTCGAGGCGGCGAAAGCACCGCGCGGCAGACTGGTCGTCGCGACCACAGAGACAGGGGCCCGCGTCACGGCGAGGGGGGCGAGGGGCCCAGCTGGAAGTGCTGCTGCTGCGGCCGGTGCTCCCAGGGCCTCCCGGACCCCACTGCTAGAACTGCTGCGGTGCCTACTGCTGCTGCGGTCCCTGCTGCTGCTGTTGTCCCTGCTGTGGCTGGTGCTGCTGTGGCTGCTGCTGCTGAGGGGCAACACCCCCACCGGTCGGACCACCACCAGTGGGCGGTCCTGTCTGTCCTGCACCTCCTCCAAGGCCCCCTCCTCCTGGTGCACCACCACTGCCGCCGCCGCCGCCGCCTCTGCCGCTCCCACTGCCACCGCCACCTCCACCGCCACCGCCACCTCCCCCCCTACCGCCCCTCTTGCCACTCTTACCCCGTTTCTGCCAGTCCGCAGCAGAAACGGCAGCAGTGTCCTCGGAAACCGACACAGCAGCAGAAGCACGGGTAGCAGTGAAAGTGGGAAGCTGAGGGGCGGCACACCCCGCAAAGAGACGGGGAGCCACCGCGTCAGTGGCGGAGGCAACGGTGAGGAGGCTGCTCTCGATCTTCCCGAGAGCAGTCTCGAGGAGATCGATGGTGAGCTCAGTGGGGTGCTTCTGGAGAAGCGCGTCGCGGGCAGTGGCAAGGCGGTCAGGGAGGCGGGTGACTAACCAGTGCACAGTGAGCCACATGGGGGGGGGAGCAACAAGAAGCTGTGCGTCGGTACAGGCCGCACGGAAACCGGCGTCAAGCGAGCGGAGGTGAGTCACTAGGTCGGAAACAGTCGCAAACGAGCCTAGGTCGGGAAACACAAACGGCATGAGGAGGCGGCTGAGGGAGAGGAGGGGGTGGAGTAGCGGGCAACAATAGCATCCCAAACCCCCTTGGCTGTCTCCACCTGGTCAAAGTGGGCGGCCTCAGACGGGGGGAGAAGCTCCGACAGTGTGAGAGCGGCGGCAGCGTCACACGAGAGCCACACGTCACTGGCCAGGACCCGACGGTCGTACTCCGCCTGGGCCGTAGGGGTCGGCTCCGAGGTGGTCGGCAGGGCGGCGGGGGACGGGGGGGCCTGGAGGACACCAGACTCGTGAGCCCACAGAGTGGCGCCGTCCTGTCGCTGGCTGGTGAGGAAGCGCGTGGTCTAGCGCTGCCAGGTGCCGAACTCTATCGGGCGTCCCTCCGCGTCGAAACAGAGGCGACGGGACTCCATAACGGATGTCATGCTAGAGGCGGCTGGAGCACGGCGGAGGCTGAGCTAAGAACGAGGAGGAAAACTACGGAGCGCCAGGAGGGAGAACGGCGGAGCGAGAGGCTAGGAGCACTGAGTGACCTAGGCTAGGCGTGAAACGGAGGATCTCCAGCTACAAGCGCTAGGGGAGCGATACTAGCAGCTAAACGGCACTAACCTAGGCGGCCGGCGAGAGAGAGCGGCTGCCAGCCGCTGGGTGATAGACCAGTGTCAGTAGAGCTGGGGAGGGCCCCGCGCACAAGGCGGTAGTGGGGCTAGGGCGCGTGCCAAGGGTGGGTAACAGTAAGAGAGGGGCGGGGGGGGAGTTTGCGACGGTGGAAATGGGCAGGGAGGGCGGTTTTGACGGTGGGGATGGGCGGGAGGGCGGTTTTGCCGGTGGGAATGGGCGGGGAGGGCGGTTTTGACGGTGGGAATGGGCGGGGAGGGCGGTTTTGACGGTGGGAATGGGCGGGAGGAGGGCGCGACGGTGGGAAATGGGCGGGAGGAGGGCGCGACGGTGGGAAATGGGCGGTTTTGGCGGTCGCGACGGTGGGAAGGGGCGGTTTTGGCGGTCGCGACGGTGGGAAGAGGGCGGGTTGCCGTGGCGACGGGCTAGGAGGTGGGCGACCGACGGGCTAGGGGCGCGCGACGGGCAAGGAGGGCGCGACGGGCTAGGAGGGCGCGACGGGCTAGGAGGGGGCGACCGACGGGCTAGGAGGGCGCGACGGGCTAGGAGGGGCGACCGACGGGCTAGGAGGGCGCGACGGGCTAGGAGGGGGCGTCCGACGGGCTAGGAGGGCGCGACGGGCTAGAAGGGGCGACCGACGGGCTAGGAGGGCGCGACGGGCTAGGAGGGGCGACCGACGGGCTAGGAGGGCGGAGGGCGCATAGTGCGCGGAGAGCGCGGAGGGCGCGGAGGGCGCTAAGGCGCGTAGGGCGCGAGGGCGTGTAACGGAGGGCGCGTAGGCTAGGGCGGGGAACTAGGAACGAAGCCTACTCGATACCATCTCAGAAACTGAACACAACAGAATAAGTGGAATTAGGGTTTGCAAGGGTACAAATAGGAATCCTACAAAAGCTATACTCTCTAGGGAGTACCTCACTGCAGCCTATCATAACATTAACATTTGACATTTTGCGCTATACAAAAGTGCGATTGTTGCTCGTTACCGTATCTCCAATTCAGATCCCAGCTAAGCGGCATTCGTTCGAGGTTACTGTACACAGTAGAAGCGACTCTATTTCAAGACATGCACTGATTGTGATCGTACTACAAATAAACAGAGAAATGCAGATATACCGTAGTGCCCCACACCACATTACTATGCCTCATTGCATACAAAGAGCCTACACTATCCTCCAATTTCACATCTGCACTTTATCTCCCCTTCCTGTTCTCACAACGACCAGCACAGGAGTTCCAACTTCCACTGCAGTGTTATTCTAAGTCAAGTCTCTAAACCTAGGGCTAGACCTCAGCCCAACACTCCTCTCATCTTTCGTCACCACGTGCTCAGCCTTTCCCATCCGCCCCCACACAACATGCACTTGCTTCCCACAAACGCCCACCCCTTTCTCCGCCACACCACTGCCATACACATCCACATGCCGCAGCGCCCTTGCCTCTCCGAGCGACTCCGGCAGCGACGAGAGCGCCTTGCACTCCCTCGACTGAAGCACTTCCAAGCACGGCAGCCGGCCAAGGGTGGGCGGGAGGGAGTGCAGCTGCTTGCAAAAGCTGAAGCAGGCCACTCGGAGCGCAGGCAGGGAGGAGAAGGAGCTGGGGAGGTGCGTGAATGAGTCGCATTCGACAATTTTGAGGCGGGTTAGGCGGGGCAGCAAGCCAAAGGTCTCAGGAAGGCAGGAGAATTCCGGGCAGTTGGAGATGCTGAGGAGGGTGAGGGAGGGAAGTTCAGAGAACGAGTCAGGCAGATGGTGGAACTTCTTGCAGTTGGTGAGAGTAAGTGTGAGCAGACGAGGGAGGAGGCAGAAGGAGGGAGGCAGGCTGAAACTGTGAGAACATTGAGCCAATGAGACCTCCTCAAGCGAGGATAAGCCTCCCAGAGTGTCAGGCAGAGAATTCCTCAACCCCCCCCGAATAATCAGCTTCTTCAACACTCCCAGGCGGCCAAACGCCGGGGGTAGGGATTCCAGGCTGTAGCATGAGTCAAGAGTCATAACTTCTAGGCGCGACAGCTTTGAAATTGCCCCGGGAAGGTGCTTTAGGGTTTTGCTACCAATGAACAGGCGGCGCAGGGAGGTCAGATCACAGAGGGACGGCGGAAGCCCGTCTTTCATGCAGAAGCCCCTTAGCTCCAGCCACTCCAAGGCTGCCAGCTGGCCCAGATCTTCTGGAAGCGACACGCGGGTGGTGAAGCCCCAGTCGTAATCTATGCGCAACGTGCGGAGGGCGCGCAGGCGCGCAAGAGCGGGCAGCGAGGAGGGAAGGTTCATGTTGTCGAGGTCAAGGTCCGTGAGGGAGGTGAGGTCCGTGAGAAATGAAGGGAGCATTCGGGGGGAGGCGTCATGGTTGCCGATGTAGTGCAGTTTCAGGGAGTGCAGGCACGGGGAGAGGGGGGAGAGGGGGGAGAGGGAGTGCGGGAGGCCGAGCCAGGCGCCGCAGAGGGAGAGCGAGCGCAGGTTGGTGAGATGACCCAGGTCGGAGGTGAGTATTGCGGAGCAGAGCCCATTGATGGAGAGGTGCGTGAGGGAGAGCAGCGAGCACACAAGCGCGGAGAGCCTCTCGTACCCCTCGCTGTCCAACCAGATGCTGAGATGCTTCAGAGACGGGCCCAGCGCCGTGTGGTAGGTGGTATGTGCTGCTGTTGTGGCCCCTGCCGTGGCTGCTGCTGCTGAGGCTGTGTCTGCTGCGGCGGCGGCGGCAGCATTGGGATGATTCCGTGCGAGGAGCTCCCTCGAGTTCTCCATCGCCGTCACGTCATGAGCTTCCACCCACATGGCGGAGCCCACCTTCACGTACGCCAGCGACGGCAACACGAAGAGCGCCACTGGAAAGTGCAGCGGGCGGTGGAGGGCTGAGATCTCGATGCGCTCCAGAGATACAAGCTGGCTAAGCGGCTCGAGAGCCAGATCAGCTATGATCGTTAAATGGCGCAATGAGGACGCGAAGGGCAGGATGGGTGGGAGCGTCTGGAGCTTCCAGCACGCGCTGATGGTGAGATGCGTGAGGGAGTGCACGGACGCGAGTGGAAAGCGCGCATGTCGGGGCACGAATCCAGAGTGACCTGCTCGAGTTTCGCCCACTCTTCGCATGCGTCTGGTAACGCGCCGGTGAAGTTTCGCAGCTCCAGTCGCCGCATCTGCTGCAGCGCGCCGACGCGAGGCGGGAAGCGATCGACCTGCCACGAGCCGTCAATGTGGAGAGAGGTGAGCGCGGAGAGATCGCCGAGCGAATCCGGCAGACGCCGCATTTCCTTGCAGTCCGTAAATGAGAGATGCTCCAGGCTCTTTAGCCGGCCGAAAGTTTCGGGCAGTTTAGGTAAAGCTCTTGCAGAGCAGACAGCCGGCATATCTCGTCGGGCAGCGAGCAGAGAACCTTGGAGCAAAGGCGGAACACGCGCAGCGACGAAAGCGACGCGATTGAAGCAGGGAGCTTCGTCGTGTGGCCGAAGCATTCGCGCAGCGAGAGATCTTGCAGGCGCGACGACGACGCGACGCGGAAGAAATTCTCGAGAGCTTTCGTGCCGATTTGAAAGTGAGGAGTTCCGGTGAAACGGGGAGGGGCGATGCTGAGGCGGGCGAGCTGGGGGCGCGCGGAGAGCAGGCGAGACAGGAACTCGTCGTCGTAGAAATCGACGGCGTTCGCCTCCAGAGAAAGCGCCGTGACTCTCGGCGCGAGCGCCAGCGTGCGGAAGAGCGTCGGCGCGGAGATGGAGGGAGCAGAAAGCGTCATGGCGCGCAGCTTGGGACCTTGGAGTTCGGGGGATTGTGACTTCAAGCCGCCACGGACGCGGAGGGTCGTCATGAGGTGCATCCATCGCTTACAAACGACCGTGAGGTTGCTAAAATCGGGGCCATCCGTGAAATTCGGTTCGCCAGTCCGGCCGGCACCATCCTCAGCGTCAACTTCTGCTTTCAGTTCTGCGGGGTTGGCGGCAGAAGCAAGTGAGATGATTCTGGAAAGAAGCTCGTCTGGCAGATGGTTGATCGACGTGGCTCGCGCCCTGTTGGCCATTGACCGCGTTCTTGCTTCACGAGGTACAGACGTTCTTAAAGCCCGCGTCCCAAATTGCGGGCCGCGCGCGTCAAGCTTTTAAAACTTGACGAAGTGCAGTGGGCAACCTTTGAAAAGTACCGCACTTGCAATTTGGGACTTTCAGGGACAGACCCAACCCCCAGGGCGAAATTTGAGGGAGTGCTGGGTTTGGCGAGATTAACGAAAAAACGAAATCGGGAGTCACTCGCCTAAACCCAGACCAGAAAAACCCCGCGCGTCAACTTTTAAAAGCTTGTGCAATTTGGGCCGCCGGCTTTAATAGCTGCAAACGCGCCATTCCTACTTCCACGAATAAATCGGAAACTTGCCGCCACTGCAACGTTTCCAACGGTAATGTGTTAGGTTGTATTCCAGAGTTAGGACACCATCCAAAGTTCCCCCACGCGACTCTGAAATGTCAAAGTGACATTTCAATGTTTCCCCACGCGGTCCGAAGTCTGGACACCAAGAAACATGCCGGTCAGCTGATGTGCGAATGATTCGCAGGTCAAAATGCGACATGGACGTTCGGGGAGTTTAGAGATCAAACCCAATGACTTCAACTTACAATCGTGACCGTCACGAACCTTGCAAAATCAGCCCACAACAACCTATGAGCCCATGCTGAATGTTTTTCCCAAGTCGCTCGAGTATATTTGGCCGTTTATTGATTTCGCGCTCTGATTGGGCACGAAACCAGTCTGATCCAATAACCGTCAGGCGATTCTGACGAACCTGGTCGCACGCCTAATCTAGTCACATGTCCAAACTGGGGCCCCACCCCACACGGACACCATCCACACCCAAAAAGTGCTTGCGGTGGGGGAACTTCGATGGTGTCCCAACTTCGGAATACAATCTTAGATTAGAACGAGAACCCTGAGGCAACACGGACCGTTGTATGAGGGCTTATCTCTGGGTTCGGGTCATGAGCGCTGTTCCGGGCATCCGCGATTTGCGCATGACCCGAAGTGGGCTGCCGAGACGCGCGCGGCCCCAGCTTTGGGTCAATGTGCAGGTGTTGGGCGACTGATGTGCACGACCCAGGCCCAACCAATCACCTGGTCGTGCGATTCTGGTTTTACTGCCATCTTAGGCGGTCGTCAGTCGAGTGTCACAAGTGGGCAATGTCCCACGCCCTGCACCTCTGCACCCAACCACTCGGTAAATTGACCCCCCTGAACCTCGATGTGCCTAACATTTCCCGCGTCGCCCTCCCAACATTTGGGGACTTAGGCCGGGAATTTTGACGATTGTGTTTTTTCGGTGGGTGTCGCGTGGTTTTGCGTGGGTGTCGCTAATGATCTGTCGAACTGTTTTGTCGACCCTCCATTGGATGCGACTGTTGTGGCGGGCGTGATTTTGGCGCGAAAACCCACGCGACAATTTGGGGGTCACATGCGTTCCCTAAACCCAAAGTGTCGTTTTATGTTGTTTGGGTCATCCGCACATCGCGGATGCCCGGAACAGTGCTCATGACCGGAACCAGAGATACGCCCTGAGAATCCAGTGAACCATTCCTAACTTGTAAAACAGAGTAGCTGTGACTACTGGATGGCTGGAAACTTGGCTGGAAAGTCTTAGCAGGGCTACTGGAATTGACTGGATGAGGTAAAACTTCACTATGTTCAAGATTAACAAGCCCACTAAAGCACAACTCTATAGGCATCACAAACAAGACAGATTGAAAGCTCAAACTAGGCTAATAGATAATGTAACTTCCCTGGTAACTTGGGCACAATCTAGATTGGATGGACCTTGAGTGACTTTGAGTGCCACATGAGGTGCATGAATAAGAAAACTCTGGATATTTCTGTTATAGCTGATTCTGATGTGTAGAAACCTGTAGAAACTGCCAACACTTCGGTTTGAAGGCAGCTTTGAACTGTATCGAGTCTTCGGCTGAAAACTGGTTGGTGGCGGAACTTTCGAAGTACTTCCCGAAGCCTCTGATTCATCGCCGACATCCCCCCTTGCTGCTGCTTGTGTGCAAAGGGCTGGAGCGGCAGAAACTCGATTCTCCAACATCCTAGTCCCTAGAGAGACTAGAGGTGGCGTTTATTCAGGGTTCAACATGGCTGGACTTGTGTTTTTGTGAGAAACAAGTTATTCAGAAACGGAAATCCGTAGATCTTCGGCGTTCTTTTTCAATACAAACCGGTACAGTACTAGTACTAAAATGAAGAGATTGGCTCTAAACATGCGACACCTCGTGGATGAATAACTCAACGCCGATCGCATGATCGATCTGTCAAATGTTGTTATTTGTTGTAGGCAACAGTGAGGTGCTCTTTAGTGAGTACAACAGTTTTAGGGTTTCCTGTTTGTACCCCTTGCTTTGCTAATCACAAACATTCCGTTGCATTCTAACTTTGAGATGGTATCACGAGTAGGTTAGTTCCTCGTTACTTCCTAACACGCGCATTCTCTAGCGCCCTCCGCGCCCTCCGCGCCTTAGCCTCCGCGCCCTCCGCGCCCTCTCCGCGCCTTAGCGCCCTCCTCCTCCGCGTGTCAGCGCCCTCCGCGCCCCTAACCCGCGCCGTCGCGGACCTCCGCGCCCCTAGCCTGCGCCCCTAGCCCATCGCCCAGGCCCACGCCCTAGCCCGTCGCCCCAGCCCGCGCCCTAGCCCGTCGCCCAAGCCCGCGCCCTAGCCCGTCGCCCGAGCCCGCGCACCAGCCCCCGCCTAGCCCGAGCCTGCACCTAACCCGCGCCTGGCCTGCCCTTCGCCCGCGCCTAGCCCGTGCACCAGCCCCCGCTTAGCCCACGCACCAGCCCGCGCCCAAGGCAGCGCCTAGCCCGCCCTCTGCTCACGCCCTTTCCTCCGTTAGCACTAGCCCTCGCCCTGTGCCTCCCGGCCCGAACTCTCACCAGGCCCGTGGCCATAGGGTTCACCCCTCCACCCCCCTATTCACCGGGCCCGAACCGTCCCTACTGTCACTGACCTTCTGCTCAGCGGCTGGCAGCCGCTCCTCTCCCTGGTGACCCTATGTAGACTAGTCTCTAGTCTAGCTCCTAGCCTCCAGTTTCCCGCCTCGCTTAGTTTGCTCAATCCTCCGCCGGTCTCTTCCTTAGTCTCCACTGGCGCTCCTAGGACTCCGTGTTTCTTCTCCTCCGTGCTCCAGCCGCCTCTAGCCTAGCCTCCAGCATGGAGTCCCGCCGCCTTCGTTTCGATGCGGAGGGCCGCCCGATCGAGTTCAGTACCTGGCAGCGCCAAGCCACGCGCTATCTCACCAGTCAGCGTCAGGACGGCGCCACCCTGTGGGCCCACGCGTCTGGTGCCCTCAAGGTGCCCCTGTCTCCCGACCCCAGTCAAATTTTGTAGTCTTAGTGATATGTGTTATAGGGGGTACAACTGTTAGGGTTAGGTTTATGTACCCCAACCAACCTTAGTCAAACCAACACTTTCATTCTTGACATGGTATCACCTAGGTTAGGATCCTGTGGGATCCCGCTAGAGCCTCTCGCGCCCATTGCCCGTAGTCTACCGTTCTTGCTGCGCCTGTTTCGACCCGTAGCGCCCGTTGAGGCCGTTCGTTCCCTCATGTAGCATTGTTAGCGCTCGCCCGTCCCGTCACCTGCTCGACGTGCCTCCCTGCCCGTCGCGTCGCGTCCCCTGCCCATCCCGTCCTCTGCTCGTCCCGTCCCTGCCTGCCGCGTCGCGTCCCCCTGCTCGTCGCGCTGCCCGTCGCGTCCCCTGCCCGCCGCGTCGTGTCCCCTGTGCGTCGCGCTGCCCGTCCCGTCCCCTGCCCGCCGCGTCGCGTCCCCTGCGCGTCGCGTTGCCCGTCCCATCCCCTGCCAGTCGCGTCGCGTCCCCTGCGCGTCGCGCTGCCCGTCCCATCCCCTGTCCGTCGCGTCGCGTCCCCTGCACGTCGCACTGACTGTCCCGTCCCCTGCCCATCGCGTCGCGTCCCCTGTGCGTCGCGCTGCCCGTCCCGTCCCCAGCCCGTCGCGTCACGTCCCCTACGCGTCGCGCTGCCCGTCGCACGCACCCCGTGCGCCCTGCCCGTTGCACGCGCCCCGTCCGCCCTGCCCGTCCGACGAGCCCCCGCTGCGCCCTGCCCGTCCGTCGTGTCCCGTGCGCCCTGCCCGTCCGTCGCGCCCCCGCTCCGCCCTGCCCGTCCGTCGCGCCCCCGCTCCGCCCTGCCCGTCCGTCGCACCCCGTGCGCCCTGTCCGTCCGCACCTATCCCGTCCGTCCCTGCCAGTCGCGCCCTGTACCGTCGCGTCGCACTGCCTGTCGCGTTTAGGGTTTTGGCGATATCGTTCCCATCTCTTCGCTTCCTCTATGGCGACCCCCAGGGTCCTGCGCTTTGACGCCGAGGGTAGGCCGCTTGAGTTTCCCGTCTGGCTCCAGCGTGCGCGCCGCCTTTTAGAGAGTCAAGTTCAGGCGGACGTGTCTCTGTGGGTGCATGCTTCCGGCGACATTCCTAAGCCCGTCGATCATGCACCCTTAGGCGCAGACCCTAGCTCTACCGACAGAGACCGTTACGCTTGCCAGCGTGCTGACCTCACAGCATGGTCGTCGTGTGACGCAGCGGCCTGTATCGCCCTTAGCAGCCTCCTCCCTGAGTCTGAGGAGACTCACTTCACTCCGGTTCGCACGGCTAGTGAGTTCCTGGCTGCGATCAAGGCCCGCTACGCCACTCCCACCACTGTCTCTCTAGGTCGCCTGTTCCTCCCATTCCTGTTTCCTGACCTCGCCTCGTTTGAGCGCTCTGCTGACTTGATCGCTCACCTGAGTTCACTACATTCTAGCTACCGCGCTGCTTGCACTAACGCACAGCTTCCACTACTCCCTCCCCCCATGGCGATTCCTATCTATTTCATTGCCACTAGCCTCCCTGACCGCCTTGCCTCGGTTCGTGACGCGCTTCTTTTGAAGCACCCTAGCGAGCTCACTATCGAGGTCCTTGAGTCGGCCCTCAAGGACGTCGAGAGCAACCTCCGCTCAGTAGCCTCTGCCTCTGGTGCTGTGCCCTC